ACATTAAGTTTACAAGACAGTAGTCATATATATATATATATATATATTATGGAGTATGCCATACTGACATCAGTGAGATTTACTTCTGAGTAACCTATATGATTTTATGTAATTGCAAAACTTCCCTTCTCTTTCCATCACAATAATCATTTTTAGATAAATGACATAATGGTTATTTAGAGATGCCGAAAGTTTAATTGATTAAAAAAAACACATGTAAATTCAAAGTATTGTTAGAATGGATTTATGAATTCATAGATACAAAATTGACACAGAAAAAAACAATAACAAGATCTATCCATTCCCTATGATAATGATAGCATTTTCACAATGGATGCTTCCCATCTTATTTTGTAAGAATTATATGGGTCACTTCAGTTTGAAATGCATATTTTAAAGTTCAGAATGTAGTGAAACATGCTACAAAAATTACTTCAAAAGCAAATTAGACAAATGTATGAAAAGTAATGCTTTTTTGGGTACTAATTCTCAAGAAAATGTCTTAACCCTGATGCAGTAGGTCTCTCATTTCCAGCTGAGAAGGATATTTAAATAGTGGAAGAAAGTCTATTCCAACCCATTCCTTTCTATGAAGAACTTATCCTTCCTCCATCCACGTCCTAAGCCTAAAGCACTCTAAAAGGCTTTTTTAGTCCTTAAATAAAACTGCTGCAATAAAAACGCAACATTGCCTTATCTGCATCATCATCCTTATCATAATTTAAAGTAATATTCAAACTGAAAAACAAAAACATAAAAAGTCAACTTTATAAGGGCAGACTAATCCTGAACAACCTGTCCTATAAATATTGTCCTGTCAATTTTTTTTCTAAAAGAAGGCAGAATGGTAATATTGAAAATCTTTTAGAAGAACAGTGCATAATAAATTCACTGCCATTAAGAAGGTCTTAACCATGCCTAGTCTATTGGACCATCAGCCAAACCCAGTTGTGAAACCCACAAGCCAGACGTTTCCAAATGATCTTAATTTACAGATGGTATTGGAGGAAAAAAATTGTAGGATAAGATAGTGTACATATTTAATCTGATCCAGCAAAGTTTTTGTTTTTCTATTTTAGGTCATAACTCATATTTTTTTAGTGTCATGTGTTGAATTATCAGAAAGGAAAAGAAAGTTCTTCTAATATACTGGCTGCATAATCTATGTTGTTTTTTTTAATGACACTGATCAAAGGATCAAACAATTGTTAAATAATTTATCTTTGTTCTAAGGCTGACCAGTCTTATAGCAAATCTATTCCAAAAATATTGTTATTTAAAATGAAACATGTTTAAATATTTTTAAATGCAGATTTGCTGTCAATAAGTTATTCAGCTTTAAGTTTCTAACCTTCTGTTATGTATAGGTTGGCTGATTGGCTGCTGGCAGGATAGATGAATGGATAAACAGAAAGGAAGAAATAGAAATATCATGATATTAAGCAATTTTAATTATGTTCCCAGTGCTTTCATTTGAATATATTAAATTTACTTGCCAGAGAAAAAAGAACTCTGGTATTACTAATGGAAATTGAATACATAAATATAAAATACAAGCCCCACCAGAAGATACCCAGACTATGATTTGGGGAAAATATGCAGTTCCGTACCTAATTTCTTTGTTTCTAAAAATACAGTTAGCAACAAAGCGCATCTGGCAACTTTGGCGCTATAGACATGCTCTTGTATTGTACTAATTACCTGGCTGACATTAGAGGTAATAGCAATGTTCTTTCCTACTTCCTCAAATTACAAAAGTTGCCTTCTGTTGCCATAGTAACCTTCTGATATCACAGTAACAGTTTCCCCAGTTGTTATAGTAACATCACAACAGGTTCCTCTCCAGAATTCAGCTATGTTCTCTTTCCGTACCAGAGAATCCGCTCTTTGCTAATGAAAATTACCTGTAGACAGCATGGAGTCGCCTAGAAATACACATGGATTGCTTGATCAGCATGCAATTCTTCGGTCCCTGGTATTCTGATTAACCAAACTTTCTAAAGTTGTAGACAGATTGCCCCCGTGTTTGGTTTTAATCAGTAGATTTGTTTGGCCAAATTACTTCCTGCCTTCATTTGGCAGGAAGCCTTTCAATCGTATTTTTATCTGAATCATGCCAATGGCATAGGCCAGGTGTTTCCTTTTTTCCCCCTTTCTTTTCTTTTCCTGTCTTTTCTTTTTTCTTTTTATACCTTCAACTGAGTATTGACTTCTGCTGACTTCCTGAACCAGTTCCTGCAATTTTATTGACAAGATTTTCAGAAATGACTTGCCACTGGCTTCTTCTTCCTAGGGCTGAAAGGGAGGGACTGGCCCAACATCACCCAGTTGGCTTTGTGCCTAAGGCAGGACTAGAAAACATGGTCTCTCCATTTTTGCCCAGGACCTTAACTATTATTGTAGTTCAAACTCTCTCTATATACAACAACTTTTTAGCTATGGATCAAATATTACTGCACAATGCAAAAAAAAAAAAAAAAAGAGAGAGAGAAGGTTTCAGGTGTGTAGTACAAGGAGATGACAATATCCCCGAGTAGTGTCAAAAAGTAATCTTTGTAATTTGTTGGGTGCTGCAACTAAGGAATTTCAAACAGTAAAAGCAGCATTTTGTGAGTGAGAAAATTTAAATTTCCATAAAGTGGAATATTTTTGTCCCTTTCATGGCTCTTTAATCTGTAAAATTACTGACCACAAATACATCCTCAAGGCAGAATGCAGTTAAAAAGGCATCTGCTTGTTTTATCCCCCCCCCTTCATTTTCACTAGTTTAAGGACAATTTATGCTTGTTAGGTAATCGTAGGAGTCTGGGTTTTCCTTCTCTTCAATAATTGGCTGCTGAGTTGCACAACACTTTGATAACAAGGCAAATTACCTTTGGGATTACTGATCTATTAGATTTCCTGAGTGTTAAAATTCAGAAACTTGATTTATTATAACAGGAGAGAGCTTTTGCAATTTTATTTGATTCCCCTAACACCAATATATTTGGCTAACATGCTTCTTCAAGTTAACTATGTGACTTATGTGGGGACTGTATGGGTGAGTGGCTGTGTATGTATGAGAGGACTGGGAGTACAGCCTGGTGCCTCCTCCACTGAGTCCTATCGCAGAAGTGGTAGGGGGTCCAGGCCCACATCCCGTCCTAGAATGATTCACATAAATGACCTGCCGGAGAGAGCAGAGGCTACGGGAGGGGAAATGGGGTCTACAGGTGTGGGAGTGGGCCAGAACATTATGGTCATGACGGGGAGGGGCAGGTATGATGGGAACTTCAGGGCTAGCCATTACCGGGGAAGGAGGGTCCGCTACGTCACAGCGATCCCTCCTTCCGGCCCTGTTAGTTCCACTCCAGGATCAGATGGCGAGAGCTGTCAGGGCCCTGGTCTCAGGCTGTTGTTGCTAAATGCCAGGTCTGTGGTTCACAAAGCTCCCCTCGTCCGGGACTTCATATTAGACAAGGGGGCAGACCTGGCATGTATTACTGAAACCTGGCTGGGCCCGGAGGGAGGAGTCCCCCTCACTGAAATGTGCCCAGAAGGATTTCAGGTGCTCCATCAGCCGCGACCCTAAGGAAGGGGTGGGGGAGTGGCAGTCATCATCCGAGGGTCATTAGCTCCTCATAGAATCCCTGCTCCGGAGCTTGTCGGGTGTGAGTCCTTGCTGGTAAAGTTGGACCTTGAGGGTCAAGTGGGCTTGTTAAC